CCACTATGAACTAAGCTCTCAACTTTGACCCCGAAATTTTCATGCGGAAATGAATAAATTTCAATATTTTTGTACACAAGTAAATAATTTGGTCCCTATGCTGTCCATGATAATGGTTATTCGGGCTATTCTAAGATTTTTCCTGGACCAGCCACGAGCTAAGTTTAAATATTTCTTCGTAATACAAGCCACATGTTTTAATTTCGTTGCCATGTTCCCGCCCTCCTTCAATTTTTTTTTTTTTTGCATCAACACTTTTTCAATTTACCAGAGCGGATATGAAACTCGCTACATGCAATCCTGGGATAGATAATTTGCGTTAAGCTCCTGATTTCCGCCGAGGCGGACGATCAATATTAAGTAAGTTTGTGAGTATCGGCCTCCTGCGTGCCGCACGATCCATTTCAGCGGCTAAATGCACCCCCAACTAACTCCGTAGTCGGCGAAAGTTTTCGGCTACGATTTCTTATCGTCAAACTTGGATGAGGAAAAGTTTCGCGATCTAAAAATGGCAGTAAAAAACTGTAAAAACTGAGCTGCAGCTTTGCCAAGGATGGCGGCGGCCATGTTTACACTAGTTGCTACTGGTTAGTTGCTGCAGAGCCTCATAGATCATCATCATTGCCGGGACGAATGCGTGATTCTTCGAGGCCAGATGGTGGGAGAGATCGTATTATATGGGCTACATTTCTTAGAAAAATCTTAACTCTTTAACAGCCACGGGAAAAACTAAATAAAATCAAACACGGGCCAGGAAAGCGGTGGCATAGAAATCACGAAGATAACCTGATCGCGACTGAAGTGAAGCAGCAGGTTTTCGGCAGGACAGGCAAGGTGGTAGAGTGGTTTTGAAAGTAGAGACACGAAGATGGTGGTTTTTGCCAGGAGGTACTAGGAAAGAGGGTACTTTGGTCAGTAGGCACAAGATGCTAAGATTGTTTTCTAATCCTAGTGGCAGAGAGAAAGATGGTTGTTTAATAAAAAGCGAATACTATATCGAAATTTCTTAACTAGAGAGGTGTGGAAAAAGATTCTTTGACAGAGACATTGAGGACTGGGTTTTTGGTACTAACAACAAATAAGATGTAGGTCGCTGCAAATAACAACGTGTAAGAAAAAGATTGTTGACAGGAGAGCTTTTTAAGAAGGGTTTTGTTGACAGTGGATACGTGGAGACAAGGGGGTTGTTGACGCTGGAGGTGGGGGTGGATGGGTCGCTCGGTCCCTGCTGGCAATATATTGCCGAGACCCCCTCTCTTCCGACATTTATTTCAGAGAGCACACACCTCGACCGTACATTGCGTGACTCCAGCACGCTAAACTTAAGGCTCTCCCTCATTTCTTTTTAGCTTCCTTCTTTTATGGACTTTGTCTCCTAACAGACTCCGCATCATGGCTCCTTCGCATCCTTTTTTGTCATCGTCATTTATTTTACTTATTTGTCTTAAAATTTACATAACTGGTTAGTTTCTTCTGGTTCAATATTTTTACCAAGACGTTGCATCTCGAATTTTTTTCCTGTGATTTTCATTCCATCTCTTCTCTTGCTCACTTTTTTAAAGTCTTTTACTTTTTAAAAAGTCTTTTACTTTTTAAAAAGTCTTTTACTTTTTAAAAAGTCTTTTACTTTTTAAAGTCTCACTTTTTTAAAGTCTTTTTACTTTTTTAAAGTAAAGTTTTTGAGTCACTTTTTAAAGTCGCATTAGTTGCTAACTGTTTATTGTAGTGTTTTAGTAGTTGCTTACTTTATTAATTGAAATTCATTTCATGTATTACTATCTAAGCTTTTACCTCAATTACATGACTTGAAATCGTCTCGTCTCATCACCTTTTTCTAAATTTTTCACGCCATATTCGTCACTCTTGGTCAACATGACGTTCTGGTCTTTGACCAGAACGTTCCTCACACACTCGCTCATTTTCACTTTTAGCTGCTCACAGCTTCCTGTCTGGCATCTCACAAGCCTGCTGAGCGCTTAGCACCTCACAAGCCTGCTGAGCGCTTAGCGTCTCACAAGCCTGCTGAGCGCTTAGCACCTCACAAGCCTGCTGAGCGCTTAGCGTCTCACAAGCCCATTAAACACTTAGCGGATTATTAGCGGACAAGCCGAACATTAACAAGTGTCAGCATTGGATGGCAATTTTATAACTTTACTTACGTAATCTTTTTCAAGTTGTAAAGCTTTTTCAAGCAGTTGTCTACTGCAATATATATGCAATATTCATTTAATTTTTTCGCAGAGGATACATAGTAGATTATCTTCTAGACATTTTTAATTTTTTAAATTAATGACAAAATATTAAATTTGACTAAAATTTTTGCATTAAATTTGTTTATATTCTACTCTGGTACGACAATTATTCCGGCCAAATAACTCAATAAATCATTACATGGCTGTAAAGCAATTCTCTGCGTCGCGGCGGTATCTTCAATAATGTTATTGCTTGTAAACTCTCACTCGCGCCGCGGCCGTAATCTCAGACGGGCCCAATTTTTCACGGCTAAAGCATCCATTAAGCTTAATTTGCTTAAGGTGAGCAATGCTTCGTCTCGTCGGCCTGGAAGTTATGAGCCTGCGTCTTGCAAGTCATTTCTCATGCCGCGTTACCCTGAAACATTCCTGAGAAACTTACCCTGAAACATTCCTGAGAAACGAGCATTGGCGTAATTTGACTTCTGCAGTTCTCAGCCGGCTCGCTGGTGCAGGTCTGCCGAAAAAATACTTCTGTATGAAGGGTTGTTGCCGATTAAATTATAATATATTTTTTGTTTGATGCTTAAAGCAATAAATTAATGTTCGCGATTTCCTTCACTGATGGTTGTGTTGGGTCTTAATGATGAGGTCTACTGACATATTCTCCGCGTTTATTAGGTGCTTCAAAGTGCAATAATGGGATATTCGCAACTTCAGTACTGAAGTTAATTACTATCACCTATGTATACCTGTGCAGCGCTTGTAACCATTACTCCTCCTGCCGCCGTCAATTTTTAGTGATTATTACATTCTTGATCACCAGCGCCGATGTTCAACACAACTTCCTCGATAAAGCAATAAATATAGGCTTATTGGTCAGTTGTTCCTGATTTTCCCTGGAGTTGCGTCCGCGTTAAGCACTTGTTATTTATTATTATGCTTCTCGTGCTTAATGTAATTTTTTTAGGAGAATTTTGCTTTGATTATTATAATAGGTTCATTCTAAGCAAGAATTTCCGCTATAAAAAAGTTGTATATATAGGGAGAATGGACTCGAAAACACGTGGAGTAAAATAATTTTTTCAAGTTTCCCATCCCAGGAAGTAAATGTATTTTTTCAGCCCATCATCTGATGGAATTATTATCAAGCATTTCAAAAAGCTTGGTAGCACAAAGAATTTTTTAAAAGGATCTCGAGTCCAAGCTTCTTGTGGTAAAGCGACAGCGCGTGTCAAATAAATTTCAACCGAATACAGTTTTTGTGGCATTCCCTTCACAAAAGCTTCTTGAATCTCCCAAAAGTGTCATACTGTCTGCCTCTGAACTTGGCAGAAAAGAGACGTCTCTTTAGCTCTTAAGTGGAACCTACGGCACCTTGCAAAAGAGGAGCCAAGAGCCCTGAAGACTCTTAGCCAGAATCCCCTTGCTCGTGAGAGCCGCGACCGTCCCCTGAGAGCTCGTCTGTCCATCAAGCCTGTCCTCGCCTTGCCTTTGATGAGGTCACGGGAGCATCGTACGTCTGGCAGGCCGTACGTATGGCAGCATCGTACGTCTGGCAGGCCCTACGTATGGCAGCATCGTACGTCTGGCAGGCTGTACGTCTGGCAGGCCGTACGTCTGGCATGCCGTACGTCTGGCAGGCTGTACGTCTAGGAGGCCGTACGTCTGGCACGTCGTACGTCTGGCAGGCCGCACCTCTGGCAAGCCGTACGTCTGGCAGGCCGTACGTCTGGCACGTCGTACGTCTGGCAGGCCGTACCTCTGGCAAGCCGTACGTCTGGCAGGCCGTACGTCTGGCAAGCCGTACGTCTGCAGGTCGTACGTCAGGCAGGCCGACAGAAAATCGAGTGCTCTGTGATTTACTCATGCAGCACAGCAATAAGCATATATGTATTCGAGCAGTAAACATACAAACGGATTTGTCTGATGATTTAACAGTCGTTTAAAAAAGTTGAATTGTATGGGAGATGGGCAGTCCAGAACGCAAAAACTAAAATTTGTGGCATTTCACTAATTTTGTTGCTAAAAAACTTTATTCTTCGAAGTAATAACATGATGTAGTTTTGGAGTGGTTCAAAATCATGAATCACAACTACAACATTTAAAATAAAAATCATCATCATTGCATGCTTATGTAATTTAGCGCATTATATTTTTTCGTAACATACAATGTGGCACTTTTATCCACAAATTATTCATAATACTGCAGGCTACAGGATTGCTATAGAATTCGAGCTCGTGTAACTTAAGAAGACGCATTCTTTCGTCGCTCGTTGCAGCAGAATTCATAATGAAACTCTTCCATCGAGTATTTAAATTTCCAGATGGTGAACTATAGCCTTTCAGAAGCTCCATTTTACATTATGCCCAATTAATTTGAGAAAACATTTCTTATATTGGGCCAAATTTAATTTGTGACATTTTGGTTTATATTAGGCCAAATTAAACTTGTGAAGGTGGGGGCATCTGTGATACCAAATTCAATTTTCTGTGTCTTGCTTCTATGATGCCAAATTCAACTTGTGAAGGATTTCACAAGGTAAATTTGTGTAAATTTAACTTGAATTTTAGTGTCTGGCTTCTATGACGCCAAATTTAACTTGCGAAGGATTTCACAAGTTAAATTTGTGTAAATTAAACTTGAATTTTAGTGTCTGGCTTCTATGACGCCAAATCTAACTTGTGAAGAATTTCACAAGTTGAATTTTTGTAAATTAAAATTTAATTTTTAGCGTCTGGCTTATATTACACCAAATTTAACTCGTGAAAGTTTGGCTTATATTATACCAAATTTAACTTGTGAAGGTGTGGGTTCGAGCGTGAGGTTGAGATCCTGGCCAAGCTCCGAGATCCCCACATTGTGGGTGTGGTGGGGGTGTGCACCAAGGAGGAACCCTTGTGTCTCCTGGTGGAGTACCTGGAGCATGGAGACCTGTACCAGTACCTCCAGGCCAGAGTTGCAGAGACTACATCACCGAGGGCCACGCAAGCAAAGACCATAAGGTAGAGTCCAAAATTTAACTTTCCTCAGATTATTTTCCTCCAAACTTCCTGAATCAACTTCAGCAGGTATAAATATCCTATGTAGTTCTAAAATGACATGGTTCTTAACGTCGGAAATTTAATGCGAGAGAACGTATAGCTTATATGCAATTGAAGAGTTGTTACTCAGTGCAATTTAGTGTTTGATGCACACGCGTAGCCCAGCATCTTACACCAACATCGTCATCCGATGCTACAGTTGTGGAAGACTATATCTAAAGTTATAGGGTTGACCGGGTTTTTCGTTATGAAGTTCCTCAGTAAATTATTGATCCGTAACAGTAGCTGCTGAAAATGTTTCTTACTTTATGCCAACCTGCTTATATCCAAACCAATAAATTCTGTGCTATATTATCTAATTTACATAAACAATTGTATTGGCGCACTAGTTCCCAAACTGTGGCCCATGACCCTAAAGAAGTCATAAACATTCATCAGTGAAAACACCATCAACTGATTCACAGCACCGTATATACTTACTCAATTAACCTATCATAGTAACTGATCACAGTTATTATAATAGGATAGTAGAATCCATTCGAATGGAATAAACTCTTTCAATAAACTTTGTGTGAAAGTGAAAACCTATACCGCATATTGGTGCAACAGCTCTACTACATTCAACATCGCTATGAAATAATGTTATAAGAACTGAAGCTGTTTTACAGAGCTTTGTTCTTGCAGTTATGGCTGCCTGATATACATGGCAATAAATAATGTTATAAGAACTGAAGCTGTTTTACAGAGCTTTGTTCTTGCAGTTATGGCTGCCTGATTTACATGGCCACGCAGATCGCGTCAGGCATGAAGTACCTTGAGGCACTCAACTTTGTTCATAGAGATCTCGCTACTCGGTGAGTAAGCACTTCTATCACATTGTTTTACATAAAGAATAATTATAATCTTTTATCTTTAAACAAAAGGTTTTATCGTTTAGTCATATTAAATTGCAAATTTTAGGTTTTAATATCTGACATTGAATTTTGGATTATAAATTGTATTTACTTGCTAGGTTTGTCAAATTGACGATGGAGCTGGACTCCGAAACGTTTTCATTCATAAAAATATAGTGAACTTCTGCGCCGATTTTTTCGTTTTATATTCCTTCTTCAATGTCGTAAAAATAACTTCCAAATTCGGATCTTTAGGTACCAAATATTTTAATATTTCTACTGACTTACAATGCACAGGAACTGTCTGGTTGGGGCCAACAACATCATCAAGATCTCCGACTTCGGCATGAGCAGATCTGTGTACGCCTGCGACTACTACCACTCGGACGGCGCTGGGCTGCTGCCTATACGATGGATGGCCTGGGAGAGCGCCATGCTTGTATGTCTCGCTCTTATTACTTTGGATTATTTGTTGTTTTTTTTTTCACTGTTAACTCTGTCTTGTTTGTGCTTTTTTGTTATTTTTTTGCTATTTTAACTCTGTAATGTTTTTTTGTTGTTGTTTTTATTTTTTTTTTTGCTTTTTTAATTCTGTATTGTTCATTATTCTTTCGTATTTTTTAGTCTGTGTTTTGTTCATTTGCTTGTTGTTATTGTTTTTGTTCCTCTAACTTTGCATTGTTCGTTCTTCTTTCGTATTTTTTAGTCTGTGTTTTGTTCCGTTGCGTTATATTTTGTGTGATATTTTAGTGGGAAATGAGATTCGATATGTGTAAATTCACATGTTAACTTTATGAAAAATTGACACAAGTAGCTGCAATTATCTTATCAATTTATGAAATGTCTAAGAAATATTAGTAAAATTCCTCATTTTTGCTAGAGAAACATAAAAAATCTGAATTTTCCCCCAGGGCAAATACACGACAAAGAGCGACGTGTGGTCGTTCGCGGTGACGCTGTGGGAGGTGTTGGGCATGGCGCGAGAGCAACCCTTCGAGGAGCTCTCGGACCTTCAGGTCCTCCATAACCTTGCCGCGCACTACCATAACGACAACAGAAAGGTACCATCAACTTATACTTCATGACAAGTTGGGCTTAAAATGCGTAAAATGCCTTCATTGCTCAATTTTTCATGAATTTTTCCTATGAAAGGTACCACCTCCTTATATTTTATAATAAGTTTCAAAGGATATAATAGAAGTGTCGGCACTGAAGAAATAGGCCCATGGCCTGTTGCCGATTCTTGTACTTTTCGCGACTTGATTCACAAGGGATCCGGCCAATGAAAGCAAATCTTTCCATAACTGACGATTGATTGAGATAGCTACTGGACTTATTGCCTGGTCCGTGATTTTCTAGGCATTTTAAAACCGAACATATGCTCCTGCATAGCCTCGTCTAGTCTGTTCTTGAAGGTATTCATACTCGGAGCGCCAACGATGCTACCAGGGAGGCGGTTCCACATGTCGGTGATAATAATGATAATAATGCTAATAATGGGTAGTAAGTAATATAAGTACAAAGTAATAATAATGATAATAAGTTTTGGATTTGTAATGCTGTCATCTACACGTGATGTTCAGTGCGTATGTTTTCCGTGGAATGTCTGTTCGCGATCCATTGGCAAAGTGCTTTCCGTTCTTCCGTAATTATTTGCATGCAAAATTTATCTTTTTCTTGGTCGATATCGATAATTGAGGTCTTTATTTGTTATAACTTTAATAAAGGTGAAGTCATTTATGTCGTCCTAGATTTATTTCGCCAAGGATCAACTTCTTCAAGGCGCAATGCTTTAATTGATCAGCATTACTGTTCATTACACTATCCATTTCTAATTTCCCCAATTTGAGGCAGCTGCAACTTCGCCAACGTGACATCGTGTGTAGTTTTTATGGCCCACATTTTGGGCGACTTCTTTCTATTTTTTTCTGCAAAAATAATCTTCTCACATAATAAGCTTTACAATCTTCAATACGACACCCTTGATAAAAGCTTTTCGATATATTGTCATGGAGTTTAAAAATCATGTCAATCGTCGTTCCTCGTCTGGTGTCTTTGTCGCTACCAGTTATTTTTGAGGACAGTTTCGATGCGTCGTCTCTGAGTTTACTAATCATGTAAACTGTTATTCCTCGTCAGGAGTTTACTAATCATGTAAACTGTTATTCCTCGAACTGTTATTCCTCGTCAGGAGGTTACTAATCATGTAAACTGTTATTCCTCGTCAGGAGCTTACTAATCATGTAAACTGTTATTCCTCGTCAGGAGCTTACTAATCATGCAAACTGTTATTCCTCGTCAGATGTATCTATCGCCGCCTTCGGGATGCCCTAAGGAGATTTACGAGCTCATGAAGGAATGTTGGCGAAGAAACGATGTTGACAGACCTTCCTTCAGGGAGATTCACATGTTTCTGCTCAGGAAAAACCTCGGATATTCTCCGATCGTTTGAATGTCAGGCAAAATAATGAACGGAATGCTGTCTTACAAGGTGGTACCGTGTTCCGGCTCATGCTGGGCAAGTTTGCCAGCTTGTTAGCGTATGCGCGAGAAGATGGCATGAAAATGTCAAGTTTTCAGCAGCACAAACTAGGGTGACGGTAGAGATACACACGCGTGCTTGGTTCAATTCATGTCAATTTTGTGTGTAAATATCCACAGTTAAAACTTTATGTCGAAACACTTAGAAAAATTTGTGACTGTAGTTCCTTAAATTAGATAAGTCGAAGATATTTTGGAGTAATTTATGTTGTAAATACATTTTCATTCACGTTGCTACAGCATTTAGAATTGATGTGAGCGGCTTGCGATAGATGAACAAGAACAAGTTTAGGGCCGACCAATGCACTCTATTCAGCATGGGCAACGGCATGAACAACTTGCAATTGAATAACTAGTTAATTTTAACAATTTTTTGGCCAATTAGTCGTGACCAGATGTTTTTGAATACAAGTAATTGTCTAAATTCGAGACTTCATTTAAAATCTTTGTATGCACCGAAATAATTGTTAAACTTTTTTTAAACATTATTCATTAACACAAAAGCATTAATTAAGATATATATTTATAACCAATTTCTCTTCCGTGTGCAGTAAATTAAAAAAATTACATTGGTTAAAACCGAAGTTTAGATTCACTGATGAAAAAGTGAAACCTTCGGATTCACATAATATTGGAATTTGTTGATCACATAATCCCTAGATTACTTAGAATTTAAACAGGTATTTCTGTCATAACAATGCCCGATAATACTTCACGACTAGAATAAAGAGCGTCAGACATGACTGAAGCGGATCGCTGGTCATGGCATTAACATTCATATCTTGTCTACCATCTACACACATATCTTATCTACGTTTTACTTACATATCTATTCTACCTTTTACTTACACATCTATTCTACCATATACTTACATATCGTGTCTACCATCTACTTACTTATCGTGTCTACCATCTACTTACATATCGTGTATACCATCTACATATCGTGTCTACCATCTACATATCTTGTCTACCATCTACATATCTTGTCTACCATCTACATATCTTGTCTACCATCTACATATCTTGTCTACCATCTACATATCAGGGTACTCTGTAAATATTCGTACAGTAAATCCCATGTTAGGCTAGGTATAATAATTCTACGTACTCAGTAATTGGGTATGAACATGTTCTCTCTCATTCACTATCTAACAGTAACGTTCCTTGTGACATTCTAAACTTTCATTCTCTGCCCTGTGCCCTATTCTCAGGTTTATTAAGAATATTTAGTCAATAGAAATTTTATTGAAATTTTTTACCTATAAATAGTGGTATTCCTTAATGCAGCGCTGAATTTGAATCATTTACCGCGCATCATTGTTATATTTATCTCACTTGTGTGAGATAAATGACCCTTTTGTGCATTTTGCATGTTTTCACTTGTGTTCATTTTATTTTCACATGTCATGTTCAAAAGTTTTATATATAAGTTGGTTTATGTGTCATAAAATTAGTTTCACTTGAAGCCATGTTGGAGTTGCCCAACAACTCCAACATCGCTTCATGTCGGAGTAATTAATTAATTAACTAATTAATTAATCATGTGTCCCTTAATTTCGTACGTACCAGCGTAAACTTGAAGTGTGCAATGGATAAAGAAAACATTTCTCTGTTATTGAAAAAATCGAACGGATTGAAAATGTCTCATACATTTCGATCGCTTTTAAATTTCATACTTATTTATCACGATCGAGTGACCTCTTGTTACACTAAGTTCTACATTATTCAAGTGGCGTATGTCTTTTTATACATCCACGTGACTTTGTATTCCAACGTAATAATTTCATATCCTCCCAGGATAATATCAGAAGATAAAAATTAACATTAATGAAACAAGACACTGAATACCTTGGAAAAAGCATAACACGTTTTCAGTAACGATCAGTACAGTCTAGTTATTTGTTCGATCACCTATAATGTTTTCTGATTTTATTAGAGGCATTTCATTTTTTAACCTGTTGGCATGATCACATGTCCAATTTGCTGAAGTTTCATTGTATCATTAATCTGAAAATGGTGATTTGTTTTTTTTTCGCATATAAATGTTAAGCAATATGTCTCCTAAAGTATAAATGTCAAGTCATTACACAATACTGTAATAAGCTCGTGAAATTAGCTCCCTTGACTGTGTTGAGGTTGCCTTCATAAGTTCCAGTTGCTGCCATTTAATGGCCTGCTGTATTGCTCGATTACTAATTCGACTGATATATAAGCCATAAATTGATATTGCAGCTACAAATCTATCTCGATATCAATCAATCTCGGAAGTGAAAACTAATGCGTAAATGCATTAGTTCATCACATCGCGGTGTCGCATAACAACCTGATACCTGTTATCCTGTACCTATTTAATACTATACATGACTCTGCATGACATTAATTATAGTCTTTGAAACATTTGACTTGAAGGACTATGTCAATAATATTGTAAATACAGTTCTAAATGGTACTTGGTAGCTCATGATTAGATAAAAAGAATAATATCTTCTCCCCGGCCCGCATGGGTTACCCCTAAAAAACTTATCCTCTTTCATGATCTTTTTATCTCATGCAGTCCCTATAGCTGTCGTGGAGAATCATTACAATTGTAATGCTTTGTGATACAACACCAAAACAATGAAGATCCCAATAATTAATTTTCTAATTATGCCTCGTTGGGTGATCATTCGTATTTAGTTCAATAGATCAATAATCAATCAATATAGAGGCGTGCCACCGAAAGATATTAACTATTATAATTGCAATTATACTAATTCACTGCTTATCTCTTGGTATCTTTAATTTCATGCTATGCTCTTGACTTAGATTAGTACTAAAAGTACGTTGTACAATACATTATATGATGGTCAGACTGAGAGTTTGACCGTAAACTTTGTTCACATTTGTTGTAGCTTTTTCTCAACTGCCAGGTACAATTTATCTAAGTCATTCTCTTGTTCTTATTCACCATGTTAACTGATTCTGAATATCAAATGAATCACGAATACACCCAAGCATTATGGACCCATGTCATTTAGACTGATGACATCACAAGCTGCATGTTTAATCGGTATTTTACGGATAAGGTAAAGGTAATCATGAAGTATACAGATTTATTGTAAACAATGAACCCAATTTAATAAATTCGTATTTATACAAGTAGAAATTCAAAATGGAGAACTTATACATCAACGGAAAGAAAAAGATTTAAAATTTGTTTTACTTATTTATGAATGTTCAATGTGTCCCCCTTGTGCTGCACGGCAAACATCTAAACGGATCGCTGTCCTAGTGTCCCCACAGTAAAGTTAGTTTACTCCACTAGTTCAGTTTGTTTTACAGGGCCATTTGGTAGCATGAAATACTAGGCAACATTAATATATAAACACGTGCTAACTTCATTTGTTGTGATGCGACTTTTGTTATTCATCATTGTAATCATCATCTCATTGTTTCTTATGTTTTTATAATTTATGTAAAACACACTAAAATATAATAATAATTAACTACGCAAACTTAAATTTGACAGCAATATTTAGATCGATGAATTAAGTTGATATCCAAGCCTTGCACTTATCAATGAACATTTTGTTTCCTACCATCCATGAGATATGAAACAATCGAGGTAACTTTATAATGAAATTTATAATTGAAATATAAAATTGAAATCTATAGTTGAAATTCCCAGTAACTTTATAATTGAAATTTCTTCGATTTTCGCGACAAAACATGTGTGGAGTAGGTATGTATATTAATATGACCAATCAGTCAAGAGTCTCATTCATGATTCTTGTCTAACTACATTCACTCCTTACATTGTCAGTAAAGCTCATGAATCATAAAAAAACTTTTTAAGTTTAATCTGAAATTAATAAGTTTACAGCTCGTAGTACAGAATTTCAGACAAAAAATTTCCATGACAATCATTTTCTTCACTCTCATTCCACTGTCATTGTAATTGCATGAATTTCCTAATTTATCCAGCTCAACTACATTGACAATAATTTTGAGCAGTATTTGTACCACATTAAACGCTGTCAAACTGTTTCATAAACTCTATTTAGCTTGCACTGTTTCTTTCTCGCGCGTTGAGATATTTGGATACAAAAGTTATAGAATCTTTAAATATTACGGGTTTCCTCTTCACTTTAACGTAATATTTAGCTAAACAAACCTTAACACATTTAAAACAAGAAAATTATTTCAATGGAACCTAATTGGAGGATGCAATCAGTGATCCAGTCTCAAAACTTTCAAAAACTCGAAACTTTGTTTCCTCAGAACTTTCAATGCAATAGGTGGAGAATTTCAGCTGGAAAATCAATAAAGCTGATAAACCGAAATACATGCAGTGAGCACTGAGCACATTACAAGGTTTTTGTTTCGTTATAAATGTGATGAATCGTGGTAAAAAGTAGGTCGAATAAAATGTTAATGCTTTAGTAACAAAGAATTAACATTAACACATGATTCAAGTCATGTGATAATACGTTGGTGACCACTTTCATACACCATGTTTTAATATACTGATAACTAATGTAGTGATTCATGTGTAAATAGGTTAATAATAAATTTAATGAGAGATGTGTTGATACGCTCGCATTCAATTTAAGTAATTATGTGTTAATTGGTTAGTAGCACTCCAAAGTCGTAAACCAATAAGACCTTAGAAGAGGCTATGGTGCTCGCTGCCGAGGTTAGGATCAAACATTAAAGGAACAAGGCTGCTATGCGAGACATCCTTCAGCAAATTGGAAACACATGCTTTTTTAATAAGTTTTGATCACTACAAATAATCATGCAATTCAGCACAGAAGTGGCCTAAATCTCATTACTATTCCGAAATATCTACTGTCGTTCTAACCCTATTATTAATTATGATAAAATTGAACACATAAATTAAATAAAAATAATTATTAGATGCTTAATTTTTATTGATGCGTGCAGTGACTCTGAATCAGAGTTCAAAGCACCAGAAGCGCTGATGCTTGTCGTCGCGTCCGCGAATCACAAATCCGACATTTAAATAAGACAATTTTCAAAAACTTGTTAACTTATTTCATAACGGGAAGAACTAAAATGTATTTTGTACCTTGAAATATTATAATTTTAGTATTTGATATATTATTCTTTCTATGTGTTAATCTTTAGCTAATATGAACACTAATTAGCTGCTATTTCGATCGATATTGTGTAATTAATGTGAAG